GCACATAACAACAACAACAACAACTCTCCACTCAAGAATAAGTTTCAGAGTCTCTTGACATCCATTTTGGTCTTTTCTTCCTTTCCTGTCTTGTTAGTGACCTTTTGCTTTCTTCACTTATGATGTTCTTGATGTCATCCCGCAACTCGTCTGGTCTTTAGTCATTGGTGTTCAAATGTGTCAAATCTATTTTTCAGATGGTCTCTAAATCCAGGTGGGATGTAATAAGGAGTTTATTTGGCTCTTGTGGACTTGTCTTAATTTTCTTCATCTTCAACTTGAACTTGCATATGAGCAATTGATAGTCTATTCCATAGTCAGCTCCTGCCCTTGTTCTGACTTCTCCTTCACCTCTTTCCATAGGTGTAGTTGATTTGATTCCTGTGTATTCCACCTGGCAAGGTTCATGTATACAGTCTATGTGTTTAAAGTACAGGAACAATAATTTCTCATCCCAGTGCTACAGACTTTTGTAATATTAAATACATGTTTCCTTTTACCTAACTCTACTAATGGAAGATATTGGTGTAAAGCTACACCAAGAAAGTCAGCTTTTCTCCACAAATAACTGGTTTTTTGTTTTGTTTTGTTTTTATTTTCTTTTTCACAAATAGCTATTTAAGGTAAACACTTCTCTTTTCTCCAGTTCCTGGACTGAAGATTTTCACAGTGTTTGGCGGCACTGTCACTGAGGTAGTCACCCACATAGAAGCTTTGTACACTGCTTGAAGAAGGTGCTTTCTGAATAATGGGAGACTGCCCTCACTGATGCACTTCATTTCTAATACTTTTGTATGTACCTGTTGCTTCACACCATCCCTTAATTGTTCTTAAACTGTATGTAGAAGTGGAGTTACGAAATTGGATTTAGAGATAGCAAAACCATCACCAAATTTTCATTTCCATCTCGCTTTCATTGAATGCTCCAATTCACAGCATTTTCCCTGGAATAGGGCAACAGGAGGATCTTTTCCACTGGAGTCATTTAACCAACATTTTTATTCTAAGGCATATCAGTTTGGTCTCTTCTTTCATCATGTTCCAACAACAAATTGGTGTTTTGTCTGCAAACAGCTATTGGTTGTTATGAATCCTACTATGTTGGCAATTTGGTTTACAAAATACGGAATGAGGTTTTCTTTTATCCAGCTTTTAAGCATAGAATAATTATTATTCCATTTTATTTGAACATATTGTAAGTATTTGACAAGGTAGTCCAAAACTCTCTTGTACGTCATGCAATTTGTCTTTGACTGAAAAAGAGTTCCATTCTGAATTCCATCTGGGATATATAACAATGTTCAAATATGAACCAAAATCAAAAAACTAAACTCACTACCATTGAGTCGATTCTGACTCATAGTGACCCCCTTTGGGTTTCCAAGGCAGTAAATCTTTACAGAAGTAGATTGCCCAGTCTTCTTTTCGTGGAGTGGCTGGTGGGTTTGAACCACCAACCTTCTGGTTAGCAGTCAAATGCCTTAGGCACTACACCACCAGAACACCTTCAAATATGAACAATAAATTTAAAAATGCCATGGCTTGTTTATGTCACTAATAATCTGACTGAATTATGCTAGCCAGGTATGATGGGACCTGCAGGGTTACATAATCATTTACCACATAGGAATGCAGGATATCAGAACACGTTCGTGCTTATTTTTCACCATGTCTTCTCAGCCACCCACATAGTGAACACAGAAGAGGCAATTACACCCCTTCTACATATGGGGAAAATCTTCATCCTAGGAGGAGTTGGGTATGTCCAAGGTCTCAGAGTGAGTTAGTAAAGGAACTTGAACTAAGATTCAGCCTCCCTGAATTCAGGATTCTAAATATAGTCATCTCCTGATGGAAATGCTGTCCATTCACATAGGGAATAAAAGTAAAGAAAAACATTTGAATATGTGCAGTAGGACTGGCCATGTAAGTGCTCTGGTTATGAAGGGCTTATGATAAGACAAAAGTTATGTTTCCATTTCAAGGGAGAAAGTTAATAATAAGTGGGATTCAGTTTCTGTCCCCAGGTGACCATCATAACATTTCTTTTAGTGCTATGCACACAAGCAGGCACTAAATCTTTCCCAATGATTGTTATCATGGAAAGGCCTCAGAAAAACATTTGTAATTAAAAGAAAAAAAAAAAAAAAGTCATAGTGCTTTTTCCTCCAAAAGGGTTGAGACTAGTATATCTGTGTTTATGTTACAGAGTAAACTGAATATAACTTTTTAAAGGGAGAATTACAATTTTCTCACATGATACTCATCTTGTGAGAATGGGATAGCTTCAACAGAGAAGAGAAATGGGTTGTTTAAGGTCTCAAGTTACATAAATAATAAGAGTAATAAATATCTTGACTCTATCCAGTAGCAGTTTTAGAAATACTTCATTTTTTCTTTACCAAAACTTGTGTTAGAAGGAATAAAGCATGTATTGTTATTTCCCTTTAAACATGGATTAATCAGAAATTAAGTCATTTTGTTGTTGTTGTTGTTGTTGTTATGTGCCGTCGAGTCAGCCCTGACTCATAGCGACCCCTCCTTGGGTTTCCGAGGCAGTATCACTACGGAAGTAGGATTGCCCAACCTTCCTTCCGGGGAGTGGCTGGTGGGTTTGAACCGCCAGCCTGCTGGTTAGCAGTCAAGTGCCTTAGCCACTACGCTACCAGAGCTCCCATTTTAGAGTATACCAAATCCAAGAAAATCATGAGTTATGCACTAAGAAGCAGCAATAACATTCCAGGTACACTCTTAGCCCTGGAGATACTGAGATAAATGAGGCATGAGCCCTACTCTCATAGAAATTACATACTTTTGTTATCTGTAACCCAGATAATTGTAACTTGTATTCAAGTTTAAGAGGGAAAGGAAGGCCACTAAGGAGATAAGGTCATCTCAAGCGTTCTGTGGTTTTTTTTTTTTTTTTTTTTTAATGGAAAGAGCATCTTGGAGTTAGTCCACATTGAACCCAATCCTCCATACAACTAGGTAACATTTTCCATTTCTATCACGGCCCAGCGCTCCCATAGAACCCTCCCAGGCTCCACTAGTGGGCACATGCTCCCCACTTTGGAGATTTGAAATGTATGTGTAAGCCATGAAACAAACGAACAAAAAAAGTTATGCTTCAATTTCATTCACTACTATGGACACACCAATCAGTAACCTAACAAGTCTGAGGGGAAGAGGGACCAGGCTTGATGGCTACAGCAAAGTAAATGCTGACAGGAATAGGGATGCCAGGCCACCTAGCCAGGGCCTGGAGAGGTGCAGTCATAATCCTTATCAAGTCTGCAAGCTGTGTCAGTGTAGTTCATACCAGATGTGTCACTTAAATAGAATTTCACTATAAGCTATGCTTTTAATTTGGGATCTAGATTCAAGAGATTTCATTTGGAAGCAGCCCCCTTACATTCATCCTGTACAAAATGCCGTGGGTACTAGTAGGGCTCGAAATTAGAAAGAAGGGATGAAAGGTAGGAAATCAGTGCTGTGGGACACCTTATAATCTCCAGGCAGTGAGCTTTTAGAGCATCATAAAGGAGGGAGGGTGTCCTCCACCTTGGCTTCAGTTACAGTCTACCTGCATCGAGATCAGCGAAGTCCCATGGTGCCACTGGCTTCCAGCAGTAGCTAGTTATTCTCTGAAGGGCTTCTTTACTCTTTGTGTTTTCTCTCCTAGAATCCCGCCGCATCCTGCTTCCTGTGGTTCTCCATCACATTCACCTTCACCTGAGACAGCAGAAAGAGCTGCTTATCTGCTCAGGGATTCTCGGCAGTATCTTCTCCATCGTCAAGACCAGCTCTCTGGTAGTAGCCCCACACCCACTGAACCCGGCTCAGTTCTACCGTAGTCTTGTGTTATTTTAGCCAGAGGCAGACCAACAAAGATTAGTTTGGATATTTTCAATCCAAGGTGCTTTCATCAGTGACAAGAGGGTGCCCAAGTGAATAGAGGCCTGTGTGTATCCAGAAGGCTTCTCAATACAAATTCCTGCTATTTTAAAAAGTTGAACTGCCACACATCCAGCCAGAAACAGTTATCTATAGTGCCGGAAATCCTAATCCGTGCCTATGCTCTGTTTCTGCCAAAAGAATTTAATTCTGGATTCCTGGGAGTTTTCTGAGGATGCTCAGGCATGGTCACAGGGAGACAAGCCCGGCTTGGAGGAAGCTTGCTCATTCAGACTTTCCTTTCAGCTTCTTGACAGCTTGATTCCACCCATGTGACCTTCTCACACCATGGCAGATGGGGTCAGGATGTGTGAGAGACAAACATACTCAAGAGCTTAGAGCCCATAGAATTGTACTTTGGGAGTGAAGTTTCAAATGACAATACATTTGTGTATTTCTTTCCTTTTATTTTTTTTAAGAAATCTGTGGTGGGAGACTAGGGAGGGAGGGAGGAAAGGAGTGAAGGAAAGACTTGTATCAAGCAATGAAAAAGGTAGGAATTTATTTTAATGATACTTATTTATGTATTTATGATAATAGAACAAATATGCATTTCTTACAGAAAATTTAGAAACTACAAGGAAGTATGACAAAAGAAGTTGAATCTCCAGAATAGGAATGTTTCTTTTATTACATTATCTTAAGCTGAGATGAGATCCCTGGGGAATAAAAGGTCAAGTACATTTAAAATGAAAGCCAGTGGCCAGGTGATAAGGACATAAGAGGCTAAGTTATCTACATGGATCAGAAGAGGTACCTAAGAGAAAGAGTAGGCTTGCTTTGAGCAGAGAACAGGGACCTAACAGGGAGCCGTCATGTCCAGACTTAAAGTACTATCTGGTGTTGGGGGCCCAGGCAGAGAACAACCATGATGATGGTGTCTCTATCATTTGTTCTTGACTCCAGGCAAGGCTTGGCAGGTCTCCTTCCCATCAGGCCCCAGTGAGGCACACTGGGTTCTGCTAGCAGCCTAAGGTCAGACTGTGGGTATGAAAGGCTCATTGGTAAGGAAGGAGAGAAAACAGAAGCAAAACAATGAAAGAGGGAAGGGATGAGATAGTAAGAACAGGTAAAAAACCTGAAGGAGATGGACTGGTTATATTTGTGGTGCTAGAGAGTCAGGTACAGTTAATTGTTTACAGCTACGCAAAGAGACTTTATAAGAAAAGTGTTATGATCAACTCAACAGATAAGAAAGACAACTTTGGCCCCAAGTATATATGGTTCAAGAGCTGCTCAAATCTTTCATGTAAAATTAGGCAAAGTATAATTATATTGGATGAGTGGATAGAGGTTGGATAAGATTTAAGCTCCATGAGAACAAAGATACTATCTGTCTTGTTCACCTCCCTGTATACTCAGGTTCTTAAACAGTGACTGCTGAAGGGAGGGAGGCAGTGAAGACATTGGACCAGTAATAGTATAAAGAGGCTAAAGAAGGGGCAATGAAAATATCTATCTTTGTGAGATCATTAAAATCAGGTAGTAGGATTAGAGATTGAACATGAGAAGTATATGAGAGAATAGTATACACTCTTTCTAAATTCAGAGCCTGGTGGCTGAGAAACAGCCCTTATGTGGAGGTGTGCTCCACAGTTTTTGTGAGACTGCGGAGAAAGACACACTGAAAACCAGACTCCTACACATAGACCAAGGAACATGAACAAGAGAAATGAGGAGCTAGAAATGGGATCCAGACATATCTGGGCAACTGGCATAGATTGAGATCACCCAAGGATAAAACTCTGAGAAGAAAGCAGGTTACTCAGAAAGACTGAGATACATCTGTATACATTAACAATAGTGAAAGTGCTGCTGCCATGCCCCGTGATTTGAATACTTCACCATTTCTCACAGTGTTAGTCAGTCAGTGTCATGCTTTCTCCTGACTATTCCAGGGAAGTCAAAGCAAACATTCAACTCTTTGCTTCTGCTCTGTATATTGAAATTTATGTATTCTGCATGAGAGTCAGGGTGGTGCTGAATTAAAGGTAAGGGCCCAGTCACCATGCCAGGGCAACAGTCGCAGGTGTGCCTCAGTGTGGTTGTCCTGGGTTATTTGACACTACATGCTGGTGAGGCTGAGAGTTCAGTGTTGGGAACCCAGCCAGAAGACCACTCCTGATATGGCTGAGACAGTAAGTGCTACCAGCTGTACATTGGCCCAGCTGGTGCTAACGGTGTGCTCTCTCACTGCTCGCTCCAGGAGACAGATGTCATGGAGGAGGTGGAGATGATGGTGGAGAGCCTCCTAGACGTGCTCTTGCAGACTCTGCTCACCATCATGAGCAAATCGCACGCTCAGGAGGCGGTAAGAGGGCAGCGATGCCCGCAGTGCACAGCTGAGATCACTGTTAGTAACTAACATTCAGGTTTTCTTGCCTTCTTTTCTAACCTGGGGCTCCTCCACACCACCTCCCATCTCACCACCCCACCACCATTCATCTCAGCCTCCTCTCCTGCATGGCCCTCAGCATGCTTCCCTCTTCCCTTGTCAAGTCCAACTCCCCTCTCCACTCTGAAACCTCTAGGTTCACTTGCCCAGTAACCTCCTTTAGGGAAGATTCAGGGAGTATATTTTTGCCTTGGTTTCCTGGACACTGTCTCAGATGGCATTTGCCTTTGAGCCAAGTCATTTTCTACTATGTGGAATGAAGCAGGGATGTGTTTCCTGCACACCATGTAGTAAGAGGCTGAAGGTGAAAAGCAGACTACTCCTTCTAGGAATCACACAGGCTCTCCGAAATCTCGTGCAGGACTGAATAATTCCCTCAGAATGTGCAAGTATCTGCAAGTTAGTTGCTTTTATTATTTGTATCAAAATTCCCAGCATCAGGAAAAATGTGATGAGGTAGAATTGCACTGACATTAACTGAATGACAGAGTGCAGATCTAATTGGAAGAGAAACAGGCTAAGAAAGCCTCTCAGGAGGGGCAGAGAAGCAGCACCTTTGGTCCCCCTGGGCCCCTTCTCCCATACTCAGAGTAGACTCAGCCCTGATGTTTGGAACATGATAAAAAGTCTGCGTGGAATCTTCCAGTTTGCAGATGGAAGATTACAGCAATCTGTTTGAAGAGAGCCCCCTGTGAGAGCAAGTCAGTCTCCAGCATGCTAGGAAGAACAGGGCAGCACGGGCAGGGATGTGTTCTGGAGCACTGGGGCTTGGAAAGAGTATCTGTTCCCTTAGGAAACCGTTGAGAACAGTCTTGCTGGAGGTAAAAACATGTATGCAGCCTGGCATGTCCTTGTAAATTATCCTTCCAACCAACACCTACTCACTATGCTTGCTATGGGCTATACTCTGCTTTAAGCAGTTTATAAATATTAACTCATTTAGCAATACTGATGAAGCCACTCATTTTGTATAGATTATAATGAAGATGATAATAACTACAATTTATTGAGCACTTCTTTGTGTGCTTAACTGTATCATATACATTAACTCATTTGCTCCTCATAATAAATCCACAAAGTATGGCTTATTATGCCTATTTTTCATACAACACTAAGGTTCATGTACACATGTGTATTCTGCATACTTTATTATGTTATGTTATATGCCATAGAGTCAGCCCTGACCCATAGCGACCCCTCCTTGGGTTTCCGATGTGATATCACTACGGAAGTAGGATTGCCCAACCTTCCTTCCGAGGAGTGGCATACTTATACATGTAATAATTTCAGGGGTCTGGAAAGGATTTAGGGAGCTCTGGTGGCGTACTGCCTAAGGGTTCTGACTGCTAACCAGAAGGCTGGCAGTTTAAACCCACCAGCACTCCTCAGAAGGAAGATTAGGCAATCTACTTCCATAGTGATACTGCCTCGGAAACCCAAGGGGGGATCACTAGGAGTCTGATCCAGCTTGATGGCAGTGATCCTCATCATCATCAACAGAAAGGATTTAAGGAGCCCTGGAAGAACAGTTAAGAGCTCAGCTGCTAACCTTTCAAACCCACTAGTGGCTCTGCAGGAGAAAGATGTGACAGTCTTGATTCTGTAAAGATTACAGCCTCAGAAACCCAATGGGGATGTTTTCCTCTGTCCTACAGGGTTCCTGTGAGTCAAAAATCAACTCACCAACAACAAATTTGATTTGCTTTGTTTGTTTAGAAAGGATTTGAAGGACTGAAAAACTGTTGTCCAATTCCCGTGAATTAAGCATTTGAAAATCATCCAAGTGACGTAATTTTCCTTCCTCCCTTCTGAGGAGCCAAACATGGCTGCCCCATTCCAAAAGTTGCTATAAGATAGTGAAAGTTTTCGGACTCCTTAAAACAAGGTTCTATTCTATATACCACAGTAGAAACTTAAAGAAATTTTTTTAAAGGCTCACTATTATTCTGAAATTTCTGCTTTTATTAAAGCCTATAGCTTGTGTTCTCATAAAGGTCAGTCTGACTCTTCTGCCTCCCAGAGAATCACGTTGATCTGTCTAGCACAGTAACCTCCTATAAGCCTGGGAGATCCCCAAGGAGGCCCTCACAGAGGAGCTGTTCTAGCTCAGCAGAAAGGCAGGTTCCAAATTCTGTCCAGAGAAGGCCAAGTGCCCATTTCCAAATAACCACTGTAGACCTTAGCACAGTTTTCAGGCAGCATATAGTGACAAGTGACTATTTAGCCAGAACTTTCTGAGGGAAAAAAAAGGGGGGCAGAGGATATCTTTGTCTCATTTTACAGTAGTTCTTTGATATAGGTTAAGGTTTTTCAATGGCTCCTGCTGCAGAGGTTTCATTAAAACTGTCAGTCTCCCAGTCTTTCTTCAGTAGAAAAGAAAGCTCATTTTCAGGACCAGAGTTGTCACCTACCTTCCCATGGTCATCGGGGCCATCTCAGACCCTCCCTTTTCTCCTTGCCCTCTGTGGATTGTGGGAACACAGCCTTTGTGATTGGTTGTGCTAAGTTTTTTTTGGGTTGGTCACCAGGGCGAGTATGTGTCCTGCCTTCTCTCACTGCTCCGCCAGATGTGTGACACCCATTACCAGCACCTCCTGGACAACTTTCAGAGCAAAGATGAACTCAAGGTAAGAAGCAAAGTGCTGCCCTTTCACCCAGGAAAGGAAGTGTTGAGCCAGGCTTTTCACCTGCTAGGCGGATGAGTGCCAACAACCAGCACTGCTAAGGGGATGGAATTGACCATACCCACTTTACAGATGAGTATGTGGCCTCCAGAAGCTGCAAGCCAACAGTGTCCCTACACAGTAACACTGACAAGTTTTCCCTGACTGCTAACAGCCCTGTGATGTGTACCTCTATGAGAGCCTACTCTGAGCCACACTGGTTACCAACAAACCAGGATTCCTTCCTTGTATATGAACTCAGTTGTTGTTGTTGTTGTTGTTGTTGTTGTTAAGTGCCGTCAAGTCATTTCCGACTCATAGCAACCCCATGCACAGCAGAACGAAACACTGCCCGATCCCGCGCCAGCCCCACAATCCCTGCTATACTCGAGCCCATCATCGCAG